TAATCATCAATCTCTCTTTGTTCATCCGATTGGATTTCGAATTAGGTATGTATTTGGGCGAAATTGTTGTTATGAACCCTAACCAAAATGAGTTCCATGTTGCTTATTTTTTGTTTTGATTTTTCAGATTTATGGTTGTTTTTTGTTTAGGTTTTAATGGTTGTATGTGGTTATCTAGGTTTCGAATTTTGATTTTGATTTTTTGCAATTTCATAACTATTTTTTTGAGTTTTTTTAATTATGTTGGTGTTTTTCATGTGTTTTTGTAGGTTTATCATATTATTCATGGTTGATAGATGACCCTCTAAGAGACTCATGATAGAAAGACAGTCCAAGCATAGGCATGACAGGTCTTCTTCATCTAGGACTGTTGAGGAGGAGACTATCGACATGTCGTATGGATACTTGTTCGAGAATGATCCTATAAAGTATGCTCGATTTGTATCAGAGTTTATAAACATAGCCATTTGTGAGCTGAAGTTGTTGGATTCCACTTTCTTCTTGACTGAGGGGTTTGACATTGTTAGACTGTTGGACTGCGTACATTTGAAGGTGCTTGCTAAGGTGTCACACACATATTTTGAGGTTATGGTGATGGTGTTTTACTAAAATTATCGTTATTCATAGGGTGAGTTGACATCCTATATAATAACCCTAATCTGTGGATTTGTGAAATTGCATGTGATTAACTGTTTAATCATGCACAACGGGAATTAATTAGGTGAAATGCTTAATTAAATGAATAAAAGTCACTTTTGGGCAAAAGTTCAATTAATGAGAATATTGGGGTAAAAACACAATTAGACAAAATATACCCGAAACTTAGAAATAATGTAGTGTAACATTATTTATCATATTGGTGAATCATGGAATTAAGAAAAATGGCTAAGTTAAGATTCGGGGAGGAAATAACGTGAGGGTTAGTTATGTAATAAACCAAATGAGATATGTTGAGAAAGTTTGACTTTTATTAAAAGTTAAAAGTCTTGACTAAGCATCTTCTTTCTCCAAAAAAAAACCATCTCCTTCGTTCTTCTCCTTCCAAGACCGAGGTCGCCATTATTGTAGAGTTTAAGAACTGCATTTTGATTTAGCCATTGGATCATAAAAGTGTATACAAGGAAATTGCTTGGAATCCTTGTGTGAACAAAACATATAATCCAAAATCCTTCAAAAAGGCTTGTGTTGAGAGATTTCCCTCATGAAAGTGGCGAACTAGAGGTGTTGGAGAGGCTTGGAGAGTTGCACTGCTTCATTTGAGGTGGAAAAACATTCCTTGGATCGTTTGAAGAACATCCATGGTAAGAAATCCTTGTTTTATGAAAGTTTCATAATGTTTTGATTTTAAGGTTTTGTATGGAAAATGTGGCTTGAAATGGGGATGTTGGAGCATGATTTGGACATTGTTTATGTTGGAAATAATGCTTGGATGATGGTTTTAATGGTGAAAATGTGTTGAGAGAGTTATTTGGACCATCTACATGATTTTCAAAAATTTCACGTCATAGCATTGGGTTACTTGTGTTTCAAGTAATGCTTGTTGAATGATTGATATTGATTAGGTTCATTTGTATTCTAGGATTGAGGTAAGTGGACAAGCGGTTGGAAAACAATTAATAGATGAGCCAACAGATGTTGGTTTGGAATCTTGATTGAATCAATATTTGGTAAGTTTTATAACTTTGGGTTTGATGTTATTGGATCCATTAGTTGCTATACATTTTATTATATGTAATTGATTGTGAATTCGTTTTGGAATAGGTGTTTTTGGATAGCAATATGTTTTGGTGTATAATTCAAGTGTGATTGCAAGTGTGGGAATCTATTACTTGTACTTAAAGTAAGCATTTGGTTGGAATCTTCAGGAGGTAAGCTTTCGAACTTCGGGATTTATCTCTTTATTGTTTCACAAGCCCTGAAAGGGTTGTGGCTTATGTGGAATTTGTATATGCAATAATTGTGGTATAATGCTTGATATGTGTTTGCTTGGAGTTGGACACAATATGTAGTTCTTTGTGTAACATAAGATGTAATCCCTTGTGTGTAGGATACCATGTGGTGTGCTGTATAAGATGGAACGTCTTAGACTTGGTATGTTGCAAGAAAGAGTTTCTTGCATAATGCATACTTTGTTCTCTGGCTAGTAGAATTACTGATTTAGGGTATCTTGTGGCACTTGACACAATCGTGTAAGTGTCGCCGGGAAAAGGGGCAACACTTAGTGCCGCTGTGGGGGCCCATGACACTAAACAATCCCTGTTGATAAATATCGGGAATCAAATACTAAATTGGTACATTAAAGAGGTAAACCCCCTCCCCCCTGGTTAGGTCAAACATACCCACTGTAGCTATGCATGAATAATTGTAATAAAATTAGGTGATTAGTAAGAGAATGTGGACGTTTGCATTTTATGCAAAAATGTGTTTATTAATGTATATGCTTATAGAGTTACAAGATAAATTTAATTAACACAATATGGAAACATCTATAAAACCTATAGAAGGTGTTAGCAATGTTTTCCTTTCCTTTTTGGTACAAGGTGTTAGCAAAATTTTAGATGATAGTGATAGACTGATAGTAGTTCAAGTGAGATCTTATTAAGCAAATATTATTTTCCACATGTAATATACCTTTTATTGGTTTTTTTAACAAATTATATATTTTTTTAAAATATTTATTTTATTTTTTTTAAAGATATTTGAAATCAATATGATTAATAGATATTTTTATCCAATTTATTTAAAAAAAATTAAAGATATTTTTTATACAAAAAATATTTGTTTGGTAAAAAAATCAACTTTCATGTATTTACCGTTTCATATTTTAATTAAGGGTTTCAAATTTCTGCTGTCGTTGTTCCACTTTTTATATTGCAGCAGACATAGAAAAAATGGATCCCACCTTAAAAAAAATAAGATCAGGATCTGCATACATATCCTGGTTTTTTATATGTTGATGACAATTTTTCTTCTTCAGAAGTACCCTTCCATTTAATTTAATTACTTTTTATAATTTTTTGACTTAAATATTTTTTAAATTAAAATATTTATTTATTTTTATCCTTTCTCCTTCTCACTTTCAAAAGTTGTAACAGGAAGGAAATGTGGATGTTGGCAAAAAAAAATTAATTTAATGTTTTTTAATAAATTAATTATGTATTTATTACAGTTTTGAAAATAATTACACATTTATTACACAATATCACGCACAATTTGGGCATCACCAATCACGCCTAATTTAGGCGTCACTCATGAGGTGTTGACACGTGTCACATTTCTTTTCCAAAAAAAAATTAACAATTTAATCGTAAAACTTCTGAAGACAATAACTTTTGACTCGGGTATTCAAATCAGGTAATTCTTTTTTCGATTCCACATAACTTTTCGAGATCCATGCAATAACATCTCATTTGACATATTTTATTTCTCACAAACACAATTTAAATTTGCAAAAATGATATTATAAGAGCAGTTAAACCTAGAAGCCTATGAGTTCTGGGTTTGTGATTTAATATAAAAAACAAATAAAGATTTGGTTTGTGATTTAAATTAAAAATAAAAATTATTATTAATAAGGAAAACAAAATAAAGATTTGATTTGTGATTTAAACTCAAAAATCAATTTGAAAAATATGTATTAATAAAGAAAATAATTAAATAAATATTCTAAATATCTAAGAAAAAAGGATATGATTTTTGAAATTAATGATTAATGCTATGAGCTTCTGGGTTATTATTCGTGGTTTGAAATTAATGATGGCTTATGAATGTTTTTCAAAAAAAAAAATTTCCTTTGAGATTTAGAATATTTATTTAATTATTTTCTTTATAAATACGGATTTTTCAAATTGATTTTTGAGTTAAAATCAAAAATCAAATCTTTATTTTGTTTTCCTTATTAATAATAATTTATTTTTATTTTTAATTTAAATCATAAATCAAATATTTTTTTTATTTTTTTATATTAAATCACAAAGTCAGAACTCATAGGCTTCTGGGTTTAACCGTTCTTATAATATCATTTTTGCAAATTTAAATTGTGTTTGTAAGAAATAAAATATGTCAAATGAGGTGTCATTGTATGGATTTCGAAAATTTATGTAGAATCGAAAAAAGAATTACCTGATTTGGATACCCGAGTCAAAAGTTATTGCCTTCAGAAGATTTACGATTAAATTGTTAATTTTTTTTTTGAAAAAAAAATGTGACACGTGTCAACACCTGATGAGGGACACCTAAATTAGGCGTGATTGGTGCTTGAGTGACGCCCAAATTAGACGTGGTTGGTGACGTCTAAATTGAACGTGATATTATGTAATAAATATGTAATTATTTTTAAAACTGTCATAAATTCATAATTTTTCATTTAAAAAATAATAAATCAATTTTTTTGCCTGCGGAAAGAAGTGGATCGGTATAAGCAGCGTGTCTCATAAGAATATTAAGGGAATTAGACTAATATTTTTGGAAGACCAAATAGGAATCTTAAGGGAATAAAAGTATAAAACCATATTTCATATAAAATAAAGGTAATTTTATAAATGTTTGGGAGGCTATGTGCAATGATATGGCAGTACTGCACTTAATTAAACTTAATTGGCTATAAATTAGAATTTAACAAGTAATCAATATACCAATACTATTAAGAAAAGAAATTTAATCTCTCATTTTGATTCTATTCAGAAGGTAAATTATAGCTCTAAAGATTAAGGTTAATTTATTATCATTTACATTTTAAAATTTCACTCTAAAATTCAATTTAATCTTATAATTAAAAATCATTTTAAAAAGCCCTTATAATCTTAAAAAATAAAAAATAATTCTCATAATTTATAAAGAAAGCAAAAGAATTTCCGTCCTTATGTTTTCCCTTGAATTTGAGGGTAACAGTTGCAAAAATCACTTTTACAAAAATAGCCCCAAATAAATTCATTATTGTGATATTTGCCATCGTTGCTAACTCTTGAAAACCCATGGTCTTCACTTTGTGCTATTGAATTAAAGCGAAGATTTTTTTTGTCCTCTCATTGTATCTCTTTATCTTCCATCTTCGCCACCTTCACTACGCAATCCTAAATGCTTCTTGATTCAACCATTCATCAGGTATATTCTTTTCTTTTCTTTCTTGTTGTTCAGTTCAGATTGCTACTATCTGATTTTTTTTTTTTAGCTTCTGCGACTTCCGTGTTACATTGAAAGCATGCCCTTTTCCTTGTTAAAATTTTCTGTGAAATGGAGGAAAATTCAACGGAAAAATAAGATTTTTAGTGATGGGTTGGCTTAAATTATTGATTTTTTTTTCTTTTCCCTTTTCCCTTTTCCCTCTTTTTCGATTTATATTGTTACTTGCACTTGGGGGGCAATCTAAGGAATTATTAGCAAGAGTATATAGAGTCAGGTTTATTAGTATATTTTTTCATTTCGATGATAAAGATTTCTCATTTTGATGTGTCATTTCAACCCCTTTTGTTTTTCTTTTGTAGTGATTGGTGGTGAAGCTTAGGTTTCTGGGCTGATTTTGTGGAATCTGGTGAGGTTTTGGAATTTTGGGGGTGTTGGTGAATTGGATTGAATTAGTTGTTAGTAGTTTGGTGCAAGATAAAGTGAGTTGAGATGAGTGTGGTGGGGTTTGACATTGGTAATGAGAACTGTGTCATTGCTGTAGCAAGGCAACGTGGGATTGATGTTTTGTTGAATGATGAATCCAAACGTGAAACCCCTTCCGTGGTCTGCTTCGGCGAGAAGCAACGGTTTTTGGGGTCTGCAGGTTCTGCTTCTGCTATGATGCACCCCAAGTCCACAATATCTCAAGTAAAGAGACTGATAGGAAGGAAATTCGCGGACCCTGATGTGGAAAAAGAGCTGAAAATGCTCCCTGTTGAAACTTCTGAAGGCGCAGATGGTGGCATTTTGATTCACTTGAAATACTTGGAGGAGACTCATATATTTACACCGGTTCAAATAATGTCTATGCTCTTTGCTCACTTGAAGACTATGACAGAAAAGAATATGGAGATAACCATTTTGGATTGTGTGATTGGGGTCCCATCATACTTTACTGACTTGCAGAGACGGGCATATCTTGATGCAGCAAAAATTGCTGGGTTGAAGCCTTTGAGATTGATCCATGATTGTACCGCCACTGCTCTTAGTTATGGAATTTACAAAACAGGTTTTCATAGTGCAGATCCAGTTTATGTTGCATTTATTGACATTGGTCACTGTGATACTCAGGTCTCAATTGCAGTTTTTGAATTTGGGCAAATGAAGATACTTTCGCATGCTTTTGACATGAGCTTAGGGGGAAGGGACTTTGATGAGGTTCTATTTAGTCATTTTGCAGCAAAATTTAAGGAACAATACAGCATTGACGTGTATTCTAATGCTAAGGCATGTATTAGGCTGCGTGCAGCATGTGAGAAATTGAAGAAAGTTTTGAGTGCAAATCTAGAGGCACCTCTAAATATTGAGTGTTTGATGGATGAGAAAGATGTTAAGGGCTTTATCACAAGGGAAGAATTTGAGAAACTGGCATCAGGATTATTGGAGAGAATTTCTATTCCTTGCAAAAATGCATTGAATGATGCAGGCATTACTGCAGGGAAGATTTCTTCTGTAGAGCTAGTTGGTTCAGGTTCCAGGATTCCTGCTGTAAGTACATTATTGAATTATCTATTCAAGAGAGAACCCAGCCGAAAACTGAATGCAAGTGAGTGTGTAGCTCGTGGTTGTGCTCTGCAGTGTGCAATGCTCAGTCCAGTTTACCGTGTGAGAGAATATGAGGTTTGTATATCAGTATATATACTTTTCAAATCAATTCTTATCCTATCTTTATGTTATATATTGAATATTAGAATTGAGTTTGTGGATTCTTAGGAATTAATAATTGTTAAAGAACCAAGTTGTTACCTAGGTTTATTTTTACAAGGTTTATTTTCAGCCTTTAGACTATCTTCCTATGCTATTTCTCTTTTTCCGATGTAAATAGGAATTTGTTAATTTGATTTGTCATAGATATAGACTCATGTGCCTCTTTTCGTTGTATTGTTCTGTTTAAAATTAATATAATTTCTCATGTTTGTTCAGGTACAGGATGCTATTCCTTTTTCAATTGGACTTTCATCAGATGAAGGTCCAATTTCTGCAGGATCAAATGGTTTACTTTTCCCAAAAGGCCATCCCATTCCAAGTGTCACAGTCCTAACATTTCAACGAACTAATTTGTTCCATTTGGAAGCCTTCTATGCTAATACAAGTGAACTACCACCTGGGACATCTCCTAAAATTAGTTGCTTCACGGTATGCCCACTTTAGAACATTCAGATAATGTGAAGAAGTTAAAATTATCCTGTGCACATTTTTATTTGTTTTATATTTTTCTCCTCATCCCCCATTTTTTAATAGTTTTTATCGTCACTTTCTTCTCTTTGTTTTCTTTTGTTGTCTTATGCATGGCATGAAGTATAGCTTCCACGTGAGCTTTCTCTTTTGTTGTTGGTGAATCTGTGTGCTTTTTTAGTTCTTAATTTTACATTTTGGGTTCTCAATAATTCAAATATAGTAATGTTTGAAGTATATATGTGTTGTTAAAAGTTTGTGTTTTTGGTAGATTTTCATCATTAGCAGTTAGCACAATTAACAGTTTTCCCTTTTGAGTCTGAGTTGTCTAATATTCTGTTATCTAGAAACTGTTATACGTTCATATATACAAGCATCTCCAAATGATTTGTTTGAATCCTCTCAGTTATTGGCATCAAGTGAGAAATTCTACTTTGAATGGATCTGGAGCACCTCATTCTTTTTCTCAATGAGAAATAAACTTCATTACTAAATGGCCTATGACTATTGCTTGTTCTGACATCAAAGGAAGCCATTGTTGTATAACTCATTAGGCATAATAATCTGAGAGTCAGAATCAGCTTTCTGCATATGACTAAATCATTTTGTTAGGAGAAAGAGAAAGTATATGTGATAGATCTAAAACCATTCCTTGTATTAGTTCAGCATGCATTTTCTGCATGCGTGCACATTGTTATATGCTTATGCAGGTGTTCACTACTTCTTTTCAGATTGGTCCTTTTCAAGGATCCCATGGTAGCAAGACGAGAGTTAAAGTTAGAGTTGAACTAAATCTGCATGGCATTGTCAGTATTGAATCAGCTACAGTACGTAAGAAGCCTCATTTCATTTTACCTTTCCTATTTGTTAAGAGATCAAGCTATGCACATAAACCTTTTTATGGCTTCAGTTGATCAAGGATCACATGGATGATTTGGTTATGGCCAGTGATTGTCATTCAAATTCTGATCCGATGGATGTTGATCCCATTTCTGAGACAGTTGCCAATGGCATTGAAGATAGTACCAATCCCATTTCTGTAAGTACTCTCATGTTTCCCCCTCTCTGTATCTCACCTCTTCTTTTTGCTTTTCTGGGAGATCTCAGATGTTAGATTTCTGGCAAATTCATTCTTCGAGTATAAGGAATTTAATAGCTAAAACCTGAGATGCAATCATTTCTGATGATGAATTCTGTGACATATCTGTCATGATTGGTTTTCATAATCTCCATACCATACTATATGTATGTATTTTTATCTTGTGGTGATAGTTATCATTTCAGATATGTTTCATATAGGTGTTTGGAGTAAACAACAATTTTACTATCATACCTTTTTACAGGTTGATGGTACAAGAAAAGATAAAGCTAACAGAAGGCTTCATGTGCCAGTGAATGAGAATATCTATGGTGGAATGGCAAAGGCAGAGATCTTGGAAGCTTTTCAAAAAGAACTCCAGTTGGCCCAACAGGACAGAACTGTGGAGCGGACCAAAGAAAGGAAGAATACCTTGGAATCTTATGTCTATGAGATGAGGAGTAAGGTACAGGCTCAATATCTCAATGAGATGTAGACATGATTGGTTTCTATGATTCAGGATACTTATGCCTTCACACGCTTAAACATCTACTTTAGGTAGTTTTGTTCATACGATGATCTTTTTTAAATAAAATAAAATAAAAACTGTGAGATGATCCTTTTTAAAGAACCAGAGCTTTAATTTTCATTTAATGAGAAAGTCTTTAGCGTGTGACATGTCAAATGAAAAGCTTTATGGCATAGTTACTGAAGAATTGGTTTTAATGGCTTTCTGTCGTGATTCGTGAGTAAATGTAAAGCTAAAATTTAGAATGCAAAGCTGTCAGTGGTCTGCTTTTATACTTTGTAATCTTATCTGCACAGGGTCTGAAATTTTATCTTTAAACTTTTATCTCGTTTCATGCCATTGATTTTATACAGGCATTTGAAGATTTTGTCTTGGTTCTATTTTTCTTGATGGGCTGGCATTTAAATTTATTTGCATATTTGAATAGCTCTTCAACACGTATCGGAGCTTTACAAGTGAGGAAGAGAGGGATAACATATCTAGGAGCCTTCAAGAAACTGAGGATTGGCTTTATGAGGATGGTGATGATGAAACCGAACATGCTTATTCATCAAAACTGGAAGATCTGAAAAAGGTTACTTTTGCTTTTCTAATCTCAATGTTTCCTTTGCCATACTTCTTGTTTACAATCTATGTATTCCTGTAGCTGGTGGATCCAATTGAGAATCGGTATAAAGATGAAGAAGGAAGAGCGCAAGCTACAAGAGATTTATCAAAGTTCATTTTAGAGCTTCGCACGTTTGCAGATTCCCTTCCACCCCAGGATAAAGAACTGGTAAGATATCAAATAGGCCAGTGAATATTGTGATGCTGCTCTTAAGATCGGATTTCAAGTGCGGTTTATTGTTTCAGATCATCAATGAGTGCAATAAAGCAGAGCAGTGGCTAAGCGACAAGATGCAACAACAAGATTCTTTTCCTAAGAACATGGACCCAATATTGTGGTCAAGTGATATTAAGAGAAAGACAGAGGATTTAAACTTGTATGATGCTTGCCCTTTCTGTTTTCCTTTTCAGAAGTGTATAATTTTAGTTTTCTAGAGTCAATAAAACTGAAGGGTCTAGGGAAAAGTTATTCATACAATTATAGTAGGGGGACGGTCATACTTACCATTATTTTAGGCTAACAACTCTTACTACCTGTTTGGTTGATGTCGGATCAATTTGAAATTACCGATCGAAAAGGAGAAAAAAATAATTGCCATTGATTTTAAATTGATCCAACGATAACCAAATAGATTGTAAGAGTGGTAAGCCTAAAATGGTGGTAAGTATAACCTTTAGTAGTGTTAGGAAATTAAATCTATTGTTTCATGTGTAATAAAGATCCGCATATGTTATCAATAGATTTGATAGGGAAATATTTTCTTGTGATCATCTTAAGTTACATACCTAAAAGGGTGAGCCTTGAGCAAGCTACTCCTTGGTAACCAAAAGATCACGTGTTTGAATCCAAAAAACAGCCTCTTCGCAAAAAATACAAGTGTAAGGCTGTGCACAAGGATTTTCTTTATTCCTACCTTAGCAAGTTGGGTTTTAATGGGAGTGGTTTTAGTATAATATATTGCTTGTGCCAAACATTGTTCATATGATCTTATGAGTATTTGTCATTATCCATTGATTTTATCTCTGAGCATTTATCAATGTCCTATTTTGATGGGTTTCAGAATATGTCAACGGATATTGGGATCCAGGGCTTCTCCAATGCCTGAAGATATTGAGGAAGACAAGCAGGATTCTTCCAATCATCCATGAATACATTGATGTGGTCATACCTCATGAACTAAAGACCTTAGTTTTCATTACTGATACCTCCTGACAAATATAGCAAACCAAAATTTCTTGTATTTTCTTTCGTTTTTCATCTCCACCTGTTGGTCTGGGGATTTGAAAGAGGCAAATTTAAGTAGATGAAGTCATTAGCAATTACCAGTGCGATCATTTTGTTTTTCAAAGGTTTCCAGCTTTTGTATTTTGGTATTTTATCTTATCTTATCTGATGTTATATAGTTTCCTCAAATGAGTCAAATAGATTTGTTCTAGGGTAGAAAATCTGTGTGAATTGTGTGTGTAGTATCAGTCGCAATTGTTTCTGCATTGTGCTCAAAGATATTATTAAAAAAATGATTGGTCAACCTCTAGCAGTGTTGGAGTCTATGCCAAAACTTTAGCATTTTATAACTTCTTGCTCTACTTTATGGTGTTGGATGAAAATTAAATCCTTATTATTATTAAGCTCGTTACAATTTATTTTGCATTCCTTTTTAGTCTTACATTTCTTAATTTGTTCATTTTAGTTTCAGTTTCTCGTGACATTAATTGTTGTCCTTGCTGTGATCTTCTATCCAATTATTCCGTTATATAGGATGCGTAACATTGGAATTTTTTTTGATAGCTAAGACTATCACATCAATAAGCATTTGATATATCTTCATTGTTGCAACATTGATACCAATATTTTGCTTTGGCCGCTCGGACTCTACTAGGTGATCCATGACTCAGCTAATCGGTTGGCGTAGCGGCAGAGTTCAACTTCCAATAGCAATTAAGAAATTAAACAAATGAATGTTTTCTTAGTACCATAAAGTTAAAATCAAACAGATGAATATTTTTCGAGCACATTTTGGGTGCAATAAGAGGAGGCACTTTTTATCGAAAAGAAAAAAAAAAGAATATGGAAAGAAATAATCATAAGGAAAGGGTAGTGTAAATGTGTTATTTTTTCGGTATTTGATAAAGAATATATCTAGTGGTTGGTGCATTTGTAATACTAAAAATATTTTGGTGTTTTTCATAGTTTCCTAACAGTTTGAATATACCACCTATTAATCGACAGAGGTTAATGCTGAGCTCTAAGTTGCATAACACAATACTTATATTTAAGGGATTCGGTATGGGGAGAGCTAAACCTCAAGCACCACTTAGCAAATCCTTATGCAAGAGATGGCAATCTGACTTGATTTGACACAATACAAATTTAACACAAATATAAATGCACTCAATGCTAACATGATACAAATTTTAAAATGAGTCAAAACTTGAGATAAGAACATAACTTATTCATTTTGCGAGTTAACATTCTACTACATGATCGGACCAAATATAATATGGACTTGCCAAAATATATCAGGCCTAATCACACACGGTTAATGTGGTGGGATGATGCTCTTCGTCTTGGACTTGGAGTTGTTGATGATGATCTGTATGTTCTTGACCTTTGTTGGCGCGATGAGACTGGATAGGAGTACCTGCGAAGACACTCTGATGCTTAAGTCAGTATCAGAGGCAAGTGTATATATGTTCTTAATGAATTAGATAGATGTACCTGAGTGTGTACCCTCTGTTTATATAGTGGTTCTGATGCTGCCTTCATAAGGCGGTTTGGCCTCTGATTGGCCAGGTTAAGCTAGAACCTGAATAGCCTTATCTTCTTGATGTTGAGCTATCCTGATAGAGTTGCGGCAAGCTGGTGCTGTCCTTTGTTTATTAGCTTGAAGGCGCGGTGAGTTTGCCTTGGCTCTTAAGTTAGCTTTCGTATCTCTGGTTTTTATACCAAAGGGCGGTTTATGCGCGATTGGGACATCGCGTCATGCTATGCACGTGATGATGGCCATCACGCTTAGTTCCGGGCCCTTCATGAGATTGAGCTTCTTTATATATCTTTGGGCCTCTAATGGGCCTACTATATTTTATCCAGATCACTACACTAATAACTCGTCAATTTCAAAGTATTGCTTATTATACATGTTGTCACAACACGACATGAATAACTTGTGAGAAAGATTAGTGCGAGTCAATTTCATGTTTATGGGTTGACACGCAACGTAATACAAATTTTTTTATGTCAGTTTTTGTCAACACGAACATGACACAAATTTGAAAATGAATTTACACTACCCGAATATGAATTTTTTGTATTGTATCAGAGGGTCGTGTTGAAAATTGTCACCTTTATATGACGAATTTATAACTTTTATGTACAAATCAATCAACTTTTTTTTATAAACAAGGTAAGAAAAATATAAAATGTATGAATGTGTTTTTTTGAAATGATTTATGAACGAAGGTAATTAGAAAAAAGTTTGTTGTGTTTTGTTAGTCACTTATTTATTTTCAACTTCATTTTTATCCATTCCAACTATGATTTTATATGGATTTTTTTTTTAAAAAAAAGTTATTACAAAATATAAATATGGGGCGTTTTGCACACACCACGTGCGTGTAAAATAACATCTTAAACATTAAAAGAAATTACTACGTGGTGTCTGTAAAAGATGCAGAAACATTCATAAACAGTAAACACGCATAATTTTTAGAGATAAGGGAATTGATTGGATCAAAGGAGTTAATTCACTTAATTGGGCGAAACTCAGATAGGAAATATTGAAACAACTAATCAATTTACAATAAATGGGCCAAAAAACTTCCAAATAATAATAAAAATAAATGGGGCCAAATCACACGATTGGTTTTAAAGACAGGCCCAGTCAAATAGGTTGAACCGGTTTAATTACTTAATAAATCCAATATATCACTTATCACACCAATTAGTTCGGAAATTTTGATTACCAAAAATAAAATAAAAAATTCGATGCTTAGTTTAAAAATTTGAGACTTTTCATCTTTCGAATTGGAGGATGAAAAGTCTCAAATTTTTCAACTAATCATCGAAATTTCTTTATTTTTTTTTTTGTAATCAAAATTTATTTTTCCTCTGATGATGTGCCAACGCTACAAAGTTGAGATTAAATTGCATTATTTTTTAATTTTAATTTTAATTTTTGTAAAAGATACTGTTATTTGTAATTTTTATTTAACCATCACAAAGTTTTAGAACAAGGAAAAAGTTATATTTACAAACTTTTTGTTTATAAACTTTTATAAACTACACTATGACCGGTCATACACTAATCAAGAGTGTATGATCGGTCATACTTAGTGTAATTTGTAAAAAAAAATGTAAACAGATCCTTCCCTTTAGAACAAAAGCCATGCACAGAATGATAAAATGACCAAAAAATGTAATGAAAACCCAACTTATTTGGCTAAAAGATTTACTTAGAGTAAAATTTCTTTTGGATCCCTAACAAAAAATACGGTCCTCACTTTTATTCCTCTATAAAAAAAAGTCAACTTCCGGTGACAGGTGATAGTCTCACAAACATGTGCTCACCCTCACTGAACTCCAGTGGTCTATGCTTAACATCATAATAGCTCTTCTGGCGATTCTGCGCCTGCTTCAGCTTCTCTCTGATCATCTGGATCTGCTGGGTAGTATCTTGGACAAAATCCAAGCCAAACAACTCCTTATCTCCAACCTCAGACCAACAGGTAGGAGTCTGACACCCCCTACCATACAACACCTCGTAGGGTGCCATGCCTAGGCTAGCATGGAAACTATTGTTGTACGAAAACTCAACCAATAGTAGGTACCTATCCCATGTTGAACCCTGCTCCAAGGTGCAAGCCTTCAACATGTCCTCCAATGTTTGGATGGTCCGCTCAGTCTGTCCGTCAGTCTGAGGGTAATAAGTTGTACTCAATCTCAACTGAGTACCAAAAGCTCCCTGCAGCGTCTCCCAGAACCGAGATGTGAACTTCAAGTCCTTATCACTGATGATACTCTCGGGCACCCTGTGAAGTCTCACGATCTCGCGAACATACAGTCTGGCCAACTACTCAGTAGTGAAGCTCACCTTCACCGGAAGAAAATGGGCAAACTTGGTCAATCTGTCCACAATGACTCAGATAGAGTCACAACCAGCCTGAGTCTTCGGCAATCCCACCACGAAGTCCATAGAAATGCTCACCCATTTCCACTCCGGAATCTCTAGAGGTTGAAGCTTACCAGACGGCTTCTGGTGTTCAATCTTCACCTTCTGGAAAATCAAACACTTTGACACATAGACAACTATGTCCTTCTTCATGTCCGGCCACCAATAATTCCTCTTCAAGTCCCGGTACATTTTTGTAGCACCAAGGTGGACAGTAAATTGGCCCTTATGAGCCTCTATCATCACCTCCTCAGTCAAAGGGCCTCGAGGAATCACAATCCTTTTCTGGAAGGTCAATAATCCATCCTCGTTCCAAGACACACCGTCCTGGTTCTTCACATAATCCAGACACTCTCTTTGCACTTGCGCCTTTTTAATCTTTTCCATGAGCTCATTCTCAACTCTAACGATCTCCATCTCGAGAAGTGCACCCCCAAACAAAGAGGTCACCATCAGATCCCGAAACTGCTCAATAATATCATAGTCACCCATCGTCAAACTGGATAGACTCACGAATTTCTGACTCAAAGCATCAGCTACCACATTGGCCTTGCTAAGATGGTACTTCAAATCGAAGTCGTAGTCCTTTAGATACTCCATCCATCTCCTCTGCCTTATGTTTAGCTCCTTTTGATCAAACAAATACTTCAAACTCTTGTGGTCACTGAACACGGCAAACTTCATGCTAAACAGATAATGCCTCCAAATCTTGAAAGCAAAAACAATAGCAGCCAACTCCAAATCATGAGTCAGGTAGTTCTTTTCATGAGGCTTCAATTGCCTCGAAGCATAGGCAATCATTTTGCCCAACTGCATCAACACACAGCCCAACCCCTTTTCGGAGGTGTCAATGTAAAGCTCAATCTCCTCAGCAGGATCAGGAAGGACAACACAGGTGCAGTAGTCAGTCTCTCCTTCAGCTCCTGAAAGCACTCCTCACACTCGTGAGTCCACACAAACGGAGTCTCCTTCCGGGTAAGGCGAGTCAATGGTAGAACCATCATGGAGAATCCCTTAATGAACATCCGGTAGTAACCTGCCAGACCTAAGAAGCTCCTCACTTCAGTAACCGTCTTGGGCCTCTCCCAATATAACACGACCTCAATCTTGTTGGGATCCACTGCAACTCCCTCAGCAGAAATCACATGCCCAAGAAACTTCACAGACTTGAGCCAAAACTCACATTTCGAAGGCTTAGCATAAAGCTTTTTTTCCTTCAGCACTTGCAATACAATCCTCAAGTGCTCCGTATGCTCCTCCTCCGTCTTGGAGTAAATCAAAATATCGTCAATGAAGATGATCACAAATTGATCTAAATAAGGCTGAAAAATCCGATTCATGTAATCCATGAACACTGCGGGTGCATTGTTGAGTCCAAACGGATCACCAAATACTCATAGTGACCGTATCTCGAATGAAA